AAGCATGTTGTTTTGTACCATCCCTAACTTGAGGTGGATAAAATAATCTCCATTCTCAAACAGTGTTCAGTCTACTATAAGAACCCAACACAAGAGGGCTAAACACTTGGACAGGAGTCCTTTATAACTTCAGCTTGAAGAGGCTTCTGCCTCTTTAGTCAGCTGGGCAGGTCATGGAAATTCTACCCTTGCAGAGGGAGCTGTGGGCACAAGAGAAGCATTTCTTTCCCATTCACTCTGATTAGCCAAAAAGCTATGACAGTTTTTCTTTTCCCTGTAAGAGTATGGTTTTTTCAGCCCGCTGCCCGGTCTTGTCCCGCCGCCGTGCCAGCCCCAAATAACGCACTGAGACTCTGTATTAGATATTATACTGTTGGCCGGGTTACTTGTTTCTTATCGGCTAGCTCTGCCTTAATTATTAACCCATTTCTGCTGATCTATGTATTTCTCTTACCGGGGAGCTGGCCAGCATACTGCTTTCTCCCGTCTCTCCATCTTGGTTCTTCCTATTTCCTCCTTGTCTCCTAGTCCCTCCTATCTTCCTTTCCTATTGGCCAACAGTGCTTTATTATTAACCAGTATGAGAAACATATACAGAATGTTATCTCCCATCATTTCCCCAAGACACAAAGTGACTTTTTTTTTTTTTTTTTAAGAGAAGCATCTCTTTTGGTACCAGACTTATTTAAAAATAAAGTAGAAGCTCTAAGGAATGTCTGTTTAAGCACAGCTGCCCAAAGCCTCATATTTGGATAATTTAGGAAATCAGGGCTGCTTGTTTCAGCCATTTCTGTCCTGGACTCACTTCTTGGTACTAAGATTGCACCAGGCTCAAATCTAGTGCTATCTTTCGTTTCCAAGGCCAGCTTTGCCCATTTTACTGGTGAATGCATAGAATGTTACAACCTTGTATTTATGCTGTTTTCTGAACCTGATCATGATCATGAACTTCTAGGGTCAAGGGCCAGGTCCTGAGAGCCTTCATTAGTAGAAAAGGTGGCAAAGAGGAAAGAAAGTTCTAAGTCAGCAGACCTAGGTCCTAGTCCCAGGATGCCTTGCTTGGCTTCACTCACTCAACAAACACTTCTTGAATTTCTAGGCATCTGTGACAAGCTCTGACAAAATTCCTGTTCCCAAAACACACTGATAGGGATTATAAGAGATGTATGGGAGGAGATATGACCATGGTTAAGTCCAGGGCAGGTGCTAAGCAAGACAGGGCTTCTAATCAGGCTGTGTTCTCCAGGAACTCTTCTTGAAGGATGCAAAGTGTTATTTGATGACTAATTAGGAAAACTCACCATAGGGAAGGAGCCTAGCATGTGATTATTCTGCACCATGAAATATAGGAGGCGACACTTGAGAGGTGGTGGCAATAGCCAGAGGTAAAAGAAATAACTTAAGCTACTTTGCAAAGTAAAAATGCCATTGCATCCATATGATTGGAGGTTGAGGGTAGACGTTTATAGAGTAGATAAAACTGGGTTCAAATCTAAGCTCTGATACACACCAATCACAACACAATAATTACTTAAAAAAAAATATTTACTATGTATACAGTGTTGTACCTGCACACCAGAAGAGGGCACCAGATCTCATTACAGATGGTTGTGAGCTACCATGTGGTTGTTGGGAACTGAACTCAGGCCCTCTGGAAAAGCAGCCAGTGCTTTTAACCTCTTAGCCATTTCTCCAGCCCCAATAATCACTGTTGTTCTTTTGCTGCAGCTAATGCCTAAGAAACACAAACACGAGACTCAGTGCCCACATGGAGTTTATTGAGAGAGGGGAGAGAAAAGGGGGAGGTAGCTGGTGGCCAACTGAAAGCAGGAGAGAGAGAAAGAGCAAGAGAGAGGGAGCAAGAGAAAGAGCAAGAAAGAGAAGCCAGAGAGAGAGAGACCAGAGAGGGTGGTGCGCTTGGCGCGCTTGCTTTAAAAGGGGGGCTTGTGCATGCATAACTGAGTCCTCTGGCAGCCAGAGGTAGCTGGTGGCCAACCGAAAGCAGGAGAGAGAGAGAAAGAGCAAGGGGGGGGGGCAAGAGAGAGAAGCCAGAGAGAGAGAGTGAGAGGGAGCAAGAGAGAACAAGAGAGAGAGGCATGCTTGGCATGCTTTCTTTAAAAGGGGGGCTTGTGCATGCATAACTGAGTCCTCTGGCAGCCAGGTAAAGCTTGAGCCACCAGGTAAGGCTGACATAGAGATGACATGGCCATGAGCGTCCGGCCCATCGTCGGGGGTGGGGGTCAGCTGGCTGCTAGTTCCTAACATTCCCACCTCTTATTGTTATTAAAAAGGTGGGGTTGGGCGTGGCAGGTTAGGGAATAAGGACGTTGAGTTCTAGAGAGACTACTTCCTGCAGACTTGGGGGTATAGATTGTCTTTGGGTGATCCGGGAAAGCTAGGGTGCTGCCACATCCTGGTAGCTGGTTGTTTCATAGCAGTCCTGACAGTATGGAGCTCTGGCATCTCTTTGAGACCTGGCAAGATGTCAGCAGAGCAGAGGACGTTAGGTTTTTGTCTCTTAGGTCGAAGTACTTAATGGGAGAAGTGTGAGGTGGGGAAGGGGCTCCCGAGAGGGTCCCAGGACAAGGTTAGGAAGTCCCAAGGCCAGGGAAAACAATAAGAGGTGGGAATGTTAGGAACTAGCAGCCAGCTGACCCCCACCCCCGACGATGGGCCGGACGCTCATGGCCATGTCATCTCTATGTCAGCCTTACCTGGTGGCTCAAGCTTTACCTGGCTGCCAGAGGACTCAGTTATGCATGCACAAGCCCCCCTTTTAAAGAAAGCATGCCAAGCATGCCTCTCTCTCTTGTTCTCTCTTGCTCCCTCTCACTCCCCTCTCTCTGGCTTCTCTCTCTTGCCCCCCCCTCTTGCTCTTTCTCTCTCTCTCCTGCTTTCGGTTGGCCACCAGCTACCTCCCCCTTTCTCTCCCCTCTCTCAATAAACTCCACGTGGGCGCTGAGTCTCATGTTTGTATTTTATAGGCATTAGCTGCATCAAAAGAACAACAATCACCGTTTAAAACAACTCTCCAAGCTTAGTTTCCTTAGCACAGTGCACAGTGTCCATTTAATTCTGTTATCCATTGCTGTGCAGCAACCCTTCTTAAATGTAATGGTTAAGACAGCATATATCTAGTAAGTTTCAGGATTCTTATGGATCAGGAATCTAGATCAGCTTAATTGAGGTCTCTGCTTCAGGGTCTCTCCAAGGCTGCACCCAAAGTCAGCCAGGACTGTGGTTCTTGGCAGAATTTAGTTTCTTGCTGGCTGGTGGCCAGAGGCTGCCAGCAGTTCTTTGCTATACATTGCCTTCTGAATATAATATCTGGCTTCCTCATAATCAGTGAAGACATTGGTGTTGATTGGTAGGACAGTAGGGTCGCTGAAGTGAATTCTCATCACTTTGGCAGTGTTTTGTTGATTAGAATACACTGTTCCAAAGGCTTATACAAAGAAGTGAACACTACAAAATCAGCATGTGTGGATTCCTTCTTTGAGTTTGCCTTACCACTAATTTGTAGGACAGACCACCAGTCAGTGTTAGCTTTTATTATGCTGAATGGAAAGATCACCTGGCCAGTGGAGGAATCTATGTATGTGTGTGTGTGTGTGTGTGTGTGTGTGTGTGTGTGTGTTGGGGGGGAATGGGAGAGTAACTGAAGGTGACTTTGAACAAGTAAAATCACCTCAAGTCCATCATTTTGTCCTCAGCAAAATGTAACCATTTGGTGTCCCCCCCAAAAGAGAGAAACTTGTGCAAGCATAAGTTTTTTTTTGTTTGTTTGTTTTGTTTTGTTTTATTTTATAAGAGCAACATACCCCTCTCCAGCTTGGGGAAGCAAACTGCTTTTGGGCCTTTTTTGTTGTGTTGATTCTGAGTCCTACAGTCCACTGTCTTAAAGGATTTTTGTATTTGGCCCCTTGGGTTTTAAAGAATTACATTGCTGGGGTAAACACAAAGAGCTATTTTTAAAGAGTTCCTTAAAGTATTTCTACGCCTTTTCTCTTTTAAATTACCTTTGCTTCTAAGCGGGGGGGGGGGGGCTGAAAGAGAAAACAGACTATTTGGGAAATTTCAAGCTCCTGATAATAAAATGGTAATAAAATCTCATCCTGCTCCCGAGGCTTCAAGGAGATATTTATGGTGGAGGGGGTTCCACCACACCAGCGCAGCTGCTTTCCAGGTTGTGAGGTTTCCAGTCCTGCAGGGCAGCTCAGGTTACCTACTCTTCAGGCCTCCTGCTAGGGCAATTCCTATACTCACAGGCTTGGATGGGGGTGGGGTAGGCACTTGACCCGCCCTGGCGCCTGGCCGCTTTACTCAGGAACCAATTCGAGGAGATTCGTGGGTTTCACTGTCTGCCTGGGGCAGTTTTCCCCAGGGAAGGCAGATAAACAGGGAGGACATTTCAAAGTGTGGCAGAGTCATCCCAGCGTAAGCCAACGCTTGGATGGAATTTAGGAGTCAGCCTTTTACAAGCTGCGCTTCTCAGCAGGAAGTTTGGGTGGAGCGGAACAGTCCCGGGATAAAGACAAAGCTCCTTTGAATCTTTATCTAAGAGCCTGGCTTCTAGCTAGAGGGGTATCCCGGGCCCTGGGGCGGAGCACGAACCCCTGAGTGTAACCCCATCACCCTCGTTCTGCCAGCCCAGCGCTCACAGTCGCTCCAGCTTGCAGATGCACAGATGTCGGGACCCCCACCAGGGCGTGAGATCACCTCCTCCAGCCTGGTAGCCCATATAAGGGGAGGGGTGTTAGCCTAGGAGCAAAGGGCCAGCAGCCTCACCTCCCCAACATCGCTGCTCCAGCGAACTACCGCAGTCTTACAAAACTTAATGAGAATCAGATGTAGTGGCTGATGGCGAACTTTTCTCAGAGTTTCTGATTGGTCAATGTCCAAGAGCCGTAGCCAATCGGCGAACTGGGCGGGCACGCAGTACAGACAAGAGGTCCAGGTTGGATATTAGGCAGTGCAGCAGGCCGAGACGCGCTGAGTGAAGGGTTGAGCCAGGGAGAGGCAATCATGTCGCGGGACCCGACAGCAGGGAGGCTAGCACCGCCATCGTCGCTGTCGCTGCTGCTGCTACTGCTATTGTCGATGTCGGGAGTCGGGGCTCTGCGTCCTGATGAGCTCTTCCCTTACGGAGAGTCGCGGGGAGACCAGCTTCTGCCGGAGGGCGACGACGAAAGCTCAGCCGCCGTGAAGCTGGCAATACCCTTACGCTTCTACGATGCCCAGTACAGCGACCTCTATGTAAGTTTAGGACCCGGAGGTGCGTGGCTGGGTGAGGGTCTCATAGTTTCTCCCCAGGGTGTTCATGGAGTAGAACAACTAACTCCTTTGCCCAGCTGTTGTCCCTCTGGGGACTATGGTGCTGCAGCTTCGTATCCCCTGCTGTGCAGGAATAAGGATCATCTCTTTAAGGGTGTGCAAAGACTATACCTTCTACTTTGGAATCCTAGGCAGGAAGGAAAATGGGCCATGATGAGGCTGCCAGGGGCGGTTGCGTTTAGGGCGGTGGGAGGCTGTGCACATCGATGGAGCTGTCTTCTCATGGACCCGGCGCCCAGGGCTCGTAGTAGTGGACGGATGCGTGCAGATGGACGGGTTCCAGGGCGGCCGCACCTGCGGGTCACATTACGCTGGAGAGGTGGGGTAGGAACACGACCGCCGCTGAGCTGGTTGTCCTAGATGTGTCTCCAAATCATCAAGGAGAGGCTCGAGCCGAGGGACGGTAGGCGTGTACGACTGGAGCATGGTGGCTGCCCTTTGGGCTTGCTTGGGCGACAGCCACTGTTTCTTTTCTTTTTTAAAAAAATATGTTTTATTTTGGGGGGCACGTGCCACCTCCTGCGTGTGAAGGTTAGAGAACAACCATTTTTCCCCCCTTTCACCATGTGGATCCTGGTCCTGGAGGTAAGTGCCCTTACCCGCAGAACCATCTCACCCTTCTCTTGGTCCTTGCAGGTGGGCACCAATGGCATCATCTCCACCCAGGATTTCCCTAGGGAGACTCAATATGTGGATGATGATTTTCCTACTGACTTCCCAGCCATCGCCCCCTTCCTGGCTGATATCGACACTAGTCACGGCAGGGGCCGGATCCTGTACCGTGAGGACACCTCCCTGGCTGTGCTGGATCTGACGGCTCACTACGTGCGCATAGGCTTCCCAAGGTCAAGCTCCAGCTTCACTCCCACCCACGCTTTCCTGGCCACCTGGGAACACGTGGGCGCCTATGAGGAGGTTAGGACCGGGGCTGAGCCTTCAGGAGAGGTAAGTGAGGGATGCCCTGCAGCTGAGCAAATTGAAGAAGGGTAAGTTTGAATTTTGAGTGGGAACTAAAGGTTGGCTTGGAGTTTCTTCCCCAGCCCACCCTTTGAACCGGATGAAACCAGTGCTTAGGGGAGCTTGGGAGTGAAGTCTGTTGTGTCTGGGCGTGTTCTAATGTAACTAAATCGGCAAAGAAAGCTGCTTTAGTGAAATGAAGGACTGAGGTGCAGATGTCAAAGATCCTGGGGACCTAAGACACTTTACAGTTTATTTCTGGAGTCATCAGTAAGTACACAAGTACTTCAAAAGATATGTTCATTGAAGGGAACATTGGAAAATTCACGAAATTAAAAAAGTAACAACCACCGTTAAACATTTTTTTTTTAATGTAGAGATCCAGCTTTTTACAGCTTTTTTTTTTTTTTTTTTTTTTTTTTTTTTTGTGGTGTGTGTGTGTGTGTGTGTGTGTGTGTGTGTGTGTTTGTTTTTTTCTTTGTTTTTTCCAAACAGGTTTTCTCTGTAGCTCTGGCTACCCTGGAACTTGTTCTGTAAACCAAGTTGACCTTGAACTCAGGAGATCTGCCTGCCTCTGCCACCTAAGTACTGAGATTAAAGGTGTGCGCCACCACCACTCAGCTAGATGTCCAGCTATTTCATAGGAGTAGCATTGTTGCCATTGACTATAGTGGGTTCACAGTAGGCATATTGCTGTTTCAGTGCTTTTTGTGCCAGATGGTACATCCTCAGTCACCGTATTTACCTAACATAATGACTGTATAAGCTCTCATCCAGTGCATTTATGACAGTCCCCTGTTTTGTTTCTGTGTTTTTTATTATAATTAATACTATGGAGTGCTTTTTAAAATTTTTATTTTATTTTTCATGTGTATGTCTCTGTGTCTGCTGGGGTCAGTAGGGCCAGAAGACTGCATGGACTCCCTGAACCTGGAGCTAACAGCCAGTTGTGAGCTGCTTAACTATAGGCACAGGGACTTGAACTAGCACCCTGAAAGGACAGGTGCTCTGTTGCCACCTGAAACACTGTTTTAAGAGTCAAATCACTTCGCAGATTTAGTTGAAATCCCAAGAACAGCAGAAAGGTTACACTTTTTAATAAGCTCTTTGTAGACTTTGCCACGTTGCCCTTGAGGTAACAGTGAGCATACTTCCACTCTGCAGGAGACTGTGTTATGTAGTCTAGCTGGAGAAAGCACCAACAGCTCTACCCCTAGGCTTGGGTCTTGGCAATATGTGAAATTGGCATGGGGTGAGGTCGGGGTAGGTTGTCTCATTCCTGGTGTAGGTAGACACAGATTCCTGTGAAATTCCACCTGGGTGTAAAATAGCAAAGACCAGGAGCAAAGCAATGTTTACTTTAACTCTTAGTGTTTCTTAGCTATAGAAATAGCCCTGTCTTCTGAGGAGGAGGTTGCCCACTATTGCCCATTATCCTCACCAATGGTGCCTGTGTTTGTTCCATGCTCTATAAAGGAAGAGACCTGTTTCCTAAAGTTCAGCAAAGGTCTAGAAATAAGCATCATTTGAAATTATGGTTTCTCACTTTACAGGTGACATCTCGTTTTTGTTTACTGACTAACCTTGTAATTTATGGCTTTGACATCTTAATTACAATTCAACAGAGTACAGCGGAATTCAACTCAACTCAAACACTGCTTTCTTTGTGCCTACTGTGCCCTGAACCAGCTAGAGGGCTAGAGAAGATAGGCTCTACCTAAAATCATGTATAACAAGCTTATAATAGAAAACAAAATAAACACTTTTAATACAAGTAACTAGGTCACCAATTCTTACATTTCATTACATTTTCTTGCAGTTTTTAAAAATTTCATTTTGAGTGAGGTGTGCGTGCATATGTAGAGGCCAGAGATCATCTCAAGATGTCCTTGCTGTGGAGCTGCCACCTTGTTTTGTAACTCAGGTCTCTTTCAGGGACCTGGGGCTCTCCAATTAGGATAGGCTTACTGGCTAGTGAGCCCTAAGGATCTACTTGTTTCTCTCTCTACATCTGAGATTACGAGTGTTCTGCTATGCCATGTTCTTTATGAGGATACTGTGGATTAAAGTCAGGTCCTCATGCTTGTATAGCAAGCACTTCAGTGATTCTATTTAGATTTCCCAGCTTCTCTTGTAACCTTGAAAAAAAAAAGCAATGTGTCACATAGTCATATATGTATATGTATATATGTATATATGTATGTATATATGTGTGTATGTATGTATATGGGTATATATATAGAGAGAGAGACTTATCTATTTATGTGTACATACATACATGTATATACATAATTTCTATTTAAACATAGTTGATATTTATTAATTCAGATTTATATAATCTCCTTATGTCAGCACTGAGGTAAACGCTGAGTAGACTGCTTTTATCCCAAAGAGCCTTACACTTAATATGGACATCACTGATAACCTTTTATTATGGTAAATGTAGTAGGCCTTAGAGAGCTTCTTCCAAAACATTCCTGTTTCAGGGGACCATCTGGGTAGGTTTCAGTGAGCAAGCAAGGTTAATTCCTTCAGGATAGAAGGCAGAATATGTGTTCTGGTTTAATGCATTGGGGGCATGGCAGGCACCCTGTCTTTCAGAAGAGAAAGGGTGATAGGACTTAAGGCTAGAGGGCCCAGGTAAAGAGAGATTGTCCCCTCTGAAGAGTGTAGATTTGGTTCCTGGACAGAAGGCAGCCTTTGAAAGATTTTTTTAAGTGGAGGATTATTCCTTTTGTTGTTTGTTTTGCTTTTGGCAAGCTCCTCCTTTTCCCTGTCTCTTCCTTTTAAGTTATGATCTCATGCATATTGGGAGTGGGGGGGCAGTGAGTGGAGAGGGAGCTAGGAGAAAGAGGAGAGGAGAGGAAAGCATGTGGGACAAGGATGATTGAGGCAGGGGAGGAATAGATGAGAGGGGAAAAAAAGAGAGAGATGCCATAAAAGAGGGAGCCATTGTAGGTTTGAAGAGAAAACTAACTCTAGAGAAATGTCCAGAGACCTACCTACAAGGATGACTGACCCCAACTAACAATCTGAGCAACAGTGGAAAGGCTACCTGGAATGACCTTCCCTGATAACGAGATTGATGGCCAACTTATCTACCATCATGGAGCCCTCATCTAGTAGCTGATAGAAACAGAAGCAGATACCCACAGCTAAACACTGAGCCGAACACCTGGAATTCATTTGCAGAGAGGGAGGAATGATAAGAAAATGGGGTCAAGGCCTGGCTGCAAAAACCCACAGGGACAGCTGACCTGAACAAGGAGGAGCTAATGGACTCCCAGACTGATAGCTGGGAATCCAGCATTGGACTGACTCAGACCCCCTGAACATGGGTCTTAGTTAGAAGGCTTGGACAGTCCAAGGGACCTCTGACAGTGGAAATAGGCTGTATCCCTGGTGCACAAAAGGACTTTGGGAGCACATTCCCCTTGGAGGAATACTCCCTTAACCTAGAGGCAGGAGGGAGGGCCTAGTCCCTACTTCAAATGACTTGACAGATTTTGATAATCCCTCCTGGAAGGATTCACACACACACACACACACACACACACACACACACACACACACCCCGGAGTGTGGGGGGGGGAGGAGAATGGGAGGGTAGTCAGGGGACATGGGAGGGAGGGAGGGAAAGAGAGGGAGGGAGAGGGAGGGAGGGAATTGGGATCGATGTAAAATAAGAAAAAAAAAGTTATGGTCTCATGTATCCCAGGTTAGCCATAATGGAGGATGACCTTGAATTTCTGATCCTTTTGTCTTCACCTCTGACTGTGTGTTGAGATAATAGGTGTGCTGTATCATACCTTACCCAGTGAATGCTGTGCTGGGAATTGAATCCAGAGTTCTGTGCATGCTGGGTAGGCACTGTACCAGCTGAGGCAGGACCCCAGCCTGAGAGCTCTTTCTGGTGACATTAGTTAGTAAGGGCCAAAGGGTAAACTCTTTAGACACTTGTTCAGTAGTCTGTTTATCTAATCTATTATGTTTTCTCTCTTTATTTAGTTTTTTGAAATTTTTATTTTACATGTATAGGTCTTACGTCTACATGTATGTCTATGCACCATGTACATAAGTGCCCTTGGAGTTCAGAAGAGGGCATCAGATCTCCCTGAAACTGGAATTGCAGTTGGTTATGAGCTACCATGTGGGTGCTACTGGGAATTGAACACGGGTCCTCTGGAATAAGAGCCAGGGAACCATCTTTCTGCCCCCTCTAATTACCTTTTTGCAGCAGTGTTTTATACTGTCTTCTAGATACAGTCCTACAGGATAACAGAAGAGAAAATGATTTCCAAATTTGCCTTAGGTGAGAGAAAGGCAAGCTTTTGGACTCTTGGTGTTTTCCCTTTCTTCAACTTTTCATATGAGACCTATTATCTGTGCATGAATCTCGTAAGAATCATGTTAAGTAGTTAGAATACCAGTTGTGCTTTTTTTTTCCCCTGAAGCCTGCCAGTAAGTAAGGTTTGCATTTTATTGTTCTTTATGGCTTTAGGACTTGAGCAGTTCTTTGAGCCTTATTTCCTTCAAAGGAAGTGTGAACTGGGGTGAAGTTGCTGGGACACTTGTGATGGCACTGTCACTTTTTTTTTTACTATTAATCTGTTGGCCAGTGACTAGCGCTTCTTATTGGCTAGCTCTGTCTAAATTATTAACCCATAATTACTAATATATGTATTTCTACATGGTCTTATCTTACCAAGAATGCCAGACTCAGGCATCATCTCTTCCCGAGAGCACATCACAACTCTCTCCTACGTTTCCCAGAATCCTCCACCTCTCCTAGTCCTACCTATCTTGTTTCCCTGTTGGTCAACAGGCACTGTCACTTTCAATTAGGATTTTGCTGCTCCTGCAGAGAGTAAAGCTGATTTGGCCTTTTTCAACAAGGGGGAAAAAAAGATGAAGAAGAATTAATAGCAAGAAGCATTTGCACAAGGCTCTGGAGTCTTGAGACAGCTGTGGGTCCCAGGTGTATTAGA